CATATGCTAATATTAGGGTTTATAGTCTTGGATTCAAAGCATGTACAATAGAGAAACCTAGATCCAAGCATTAGGGTTTGTATGAGCACATAGGATGACTTATGATCAAAACCCATCAGCTATATGCATGAGACTTGGGAGGAGGGCGTTTATGGCCCAAACACCCCTTGTTTGGCCGTAAACACCTAGCTAAGGTGATGGATTGTTTTGTTTGATACACCTTACTAATTACGACACTTCCTTTTATTTAATTGTTTGACGAAAAATAAAATAAAACACCAAACGGACTCAAACTCGGCCAAATATGTATTAAAATATTTTTGACTAATATTTGGAGTGTTTAAATGTGGAAATTATACATATGAAAATTTCGGGTTGTTACAGTGGTGTTTTGTGAAGCATTTGAGGCATCACACTTGAGGTCCTAAGCTCTTAAAGTCCAAATAACACAAGCTACATAAAGAGGTAATCATACAACTAGTTTTTATGATTCATATATCACATTTGTATGCTAGTTAGGCTCCATGCTTTAGAAAAACAATATTGCATGTATAATTTGATGGGTTTTGAGCATTCTAACACTCCTATGGTGTACATTCAACCCTATAACCCTTTGATCTATGTTTTCTCTATTATATATGCAAATATTCAATATTCTAAGGTTTTATCCTAACTAGCATAATATGAAGCAACTATACTACAAAATCCTAGTTAGATAACATACCTTTTGATGAAGCTTGAAGTCTTGAACTTTAAGAGCTTAGCCCTAATAGTAACTTTAGGCTGTCACTTTCTGGACCACTCAACACTCTTGGAATAAACTGTACCAATCTACTAAGAATTACATCAGTACCTTTATATGTGGGAAACTATACATCCATATCTAATTATAGGATTTGGATTTTTAGCTTTTGGAGTTCTAATGAATTTGTTATGATTTTTTCAAGACAATGCATGAAATGTGTGACAGCATGGAGCAGCCTGAGAAGATTGCCAATTTTACCCCTCAAGGAGTTGAAATTTCGAAATGTGATTCAAAGTTTGAAGAAACTAGACAAACTAAGATTTCCAGAAAACTAAGTCTCATGGTTTTTAGATGTTCTTATTGACCTGCACGAATTTTAGAAGTTGGAGGACAGATTTGGGAAAATTGATCATAATAGCTTTTAAATCACTTTTGGTGTTCTATTAAGGACTTAATGGTTAAGCCTTAAGTTTATCACTTTTTATATGATTGTTGATTGTTTATTAGGCTATTAAGATATGAAATTCAATTTAACCTAAGGTCCTTAATGTTTGGCTTAATGAGGGTTCAAAGTTAAGGACTTTCACATAAAATGCTACTTTATCATTGAGACATTTCATTGAACACTTGGTGTTCATAAAAAATCTATACAAATAATATGTTTGGATCAGAATGTCGATGTCAAAATATATTATCAAATTCCCAGTTAATATTGATATTATAATCTATAAATCATTCAATATTAATATTATGACCTCTAAATGAATTAAATATTATATACTAAATAAAAAAAACGAATAATTTATAGAATGCTAGACGTAGGGAGGGTTTGCCTTTTCTTACCTGCTGCCGAGAAGAAACAGAAAACGAAGAAAGAAAGTCAATATATCACTCTTCCTCTTCATTGAACATTAGCACCCTTTTTCTCTAGACATCTCTCTTTTTCTATTTTTTTTTACTTTTTGTGCCACGCTGTAGAAGATAAAAGAACAACTACGATTTAGGGCACTGCTTAAGGGCATGAAATTCTCATTCATTTTTAGTGAATTGTTGGAACGCTCTGAGATCGAAGGAGTAGATGATTTGGAAAATTTGTTATGCTTGTTGATGGTACCGGAAGATGAGTTGACAATGTCGGACCGATAGTAGATCTCCCAACGACATTACCATTGAGTTGTGGCATACATTTACACACAATTTTACAAGGTGAAAAGCCATGAGTTGAGAACTGTGGAACTAGATCAACAAAGAAGATTTGGTAACATTTAGCTATAGATCCGATGGAACTATATCTTATGGTCTGTGAACCGATATCGTTGTGATGATTTAAAAAATGTTCTCAACTGTTCTCACGGGAAAAAAATTTCTCATTGGAACATAACTCTGTGTGTGTGTGTGTGTATATATATATATATATATATATATATATATATATATATATAATTTAGTTTATTGAAAATTTCATTTATCATAGTTCTAGGAACAATAACTTTTTTATGATAAGAATTTTGCCACAAATGTTTCAAGAGTTGATACTTTTGGTTCCCTATTTTCCTCAAATCATTATTCACACACTAAATTTTCATGATTCAGAATTTAGCCACAAATATTTTAAGAGTTTGCCACTTTTGGTCCCTATTATTTACCAAATGTGACCCCTAATGTTTTTGTCACATTATCGAAAACACAACCAAGTATACATTTTGGAATATATTTTGATAAAATAAACCACAACCAAGTAATGAAAATATAAACAAAGGTAATTTTTTTTAGTTATGTAGGAATGTTAAGCATGTTACATTTCCAACATCGATGTATTATGTTTCTTAAGAATGTTATAAAAAAAAAATATGTTTGCATTATTATCATTTTAGAAACGTCATGACATTTAGAAATTTCAATCAAGTGTCCATAGATTTTGCTGTACTTATTCGAACCAAGACAATTTTTATTGGTATTTAATTATGATATGTTAACGAGGTATAAAATGTGAAGGATTGTTTTTTATTCTTAATATATATAAGGGATAATGTCATAAAAAAAACATTAAGCTTGACGTAAAATGTCGGTTTTACACTATAACCGAATTTAGATTTGTTTATGTCGCAAACTTGCTAAAAAAAAGTTCGATTTTACTATTTTTACAGGCTGAGCAGGTCATATATACAGGTGGCGAGCCACATGTGCGCTGAATAGGTCGGAACTGCTAATGTGGCCGCCATATGTGTGCTAAGTGTGTTGTTGCATCTTTTATTATAAAAATTCTAAAGGAGGAAAGAAAATGAGGTTGTCTGGAATCAAATTCAAAAACCCAGAATCTTACTATTAGGTTAGAAAGCTTCTTATGTTTACATCTTGAACAACTGATATATAATGTAGGTTACTGAAATATATAAAATACAATTTAGATTATTATTATTATTATTATTATTATTATTATTATAATGTAGGTTACTGAAATATATAAAATACAATTTAGTGTATGCATGCATTTTTATTTTTGTTTTTATAGGTATAAACATATTTATAAAGGTATATAATATGTTTTTAAGTTTAAAAATATTTTTAAAGGTATTTATAATTTTGAAAGTGTATGTAGACCTTTATAAACATATTTTTATAATGAAAAATGTATTTATAAAGTAAAAATATATTTATTTATATTTAATAATCATAACAATATGTTTTAAAAGGTATTTATATATTTAAAATTGTACTTATAAACTTCAAAAAATATTTTTACAATTAAGAACATATATATATATATATATATATATATATATATATATATATATATATATATATATTTGAAAGATTATTTGCAGATTTGACAACATATTTATATATTTAGTTGTAAAAATACCTTCCTAAGTGTATGAATAGACCAAATATATATTTTTAAATTTAAAAATATATATATATTTTTTTTGGAAAGGCAACTTCCCTAACGAGGGTTTCCGGGCCAGCTTTCGCGCACCGACTAATCCCCCGCTGCAAACATAAAGCTTTGCCTCATGCCCTGGAGTCACTGCAGGCGAACCTCCATGGCCACAAGGGCTGAGTGGTGCCAGGATTTGAACATGGGTCAATAGGTTATCCACCATATCTTCCACATGCCTTACCAAGTCACCACAACTCAAGTGTATTTCTACTTGAATAGGTTCTAAATATATAAGTACCTTTAAAGTGTATTTCTACTTTCAAAAATAAAAAAAAAAAATACATATTTGTATTAACAATACGGAAAAATCCATATTTATATTCAAAATATTAAGAAAAAAAATAAGTATTTATATTGGGAATATAAAAAAAATTATATTGAAAATACAATATATAGAAATACATGTTCAATATATGAATAATATGAAAATTTTGTATTTATACAATATATAAGCTAATATATAAGCTGTTAGATTACTATATATTTAAATTTCAACGAGCCGACACAAATCCATTGCTAGTTTAGTGGAAATGAGGCTATGTGGCTTAGCTAGATGCCTAGGTTCGCAACTTGTCGTCTATGTCATTTTCAAAATTTTCAATTGGATGCTGCTAATAAGATACCCTTAGAGGTCTTATAATCATTTTTATAAAATATAAACCTATAATCAACTTCTTGTAATCATCTTTTTCGGAAAACAATGCAATTTCAACCAATAAAAATATTTCAAATATTAATTAGGTTTGTATAAATGATAAAATATGGTATCTTTTTAACCAATCCTTTTTCAATTTTATCCCTATTTATAATGACTAAATTTTAAATTTTTAGAAAAAAAGGAACATGCTAACGTGTCTTGCACATGTCAGCCATAGATACTTATGACCGACTTCTAAATTATGTTTTTTTTTAGGTCAAATCGATATTTACCACCAGGAGGTTTTTTATGAAATTATCTTTATTCCTATTTATAATGACTTTTAAAGGGTGTAAAGAGAGGTTTTTCTGAAAATTTCAAATAACTGACTGTCATACGCTGATTTGAAGAAAAATTAAAAGTGGCGACTGTGGCGTCGGATATGCTCAGAGACATATCTCTTTCGATACCTTCAATTTCATGGAAGTACATGAATTGAAGTATGAATTTGCTTAGTGATTATCGAGGAACTCTAAAATAAGTGCAATTTTTGAAACTTCTAGTAGATGGTATACATTAATGATCTCATCAAAACTTTATATACTTAGGGCGTAGAAGCGATGGATAAATTGAACAGAAACCTGTCCTATGTTCTTATACGATTCTTCATCTCCAATCTATCTGATGCTTAGTGTAGTTGATCCAGTGCTATCGCTATGCCATTCACCAGTAACGGACACCGGCGAAGGCGGGAAGTTTTTCAACAAAACCGTCGTATCAGTGTTTTCCGACCGAGGTGGCGGTTTTAGGGTTTTCGACTCTTCAGCATCTATTCTCCCATGGGCTTGAATATTCTCCAACACGTCCAATACCTCATTCATTGTAGGCCTCATTTCTGAATAAAACTGTAAACACTGAAACGCCAACTCTGCTACTGATGTAACCATCCTCATGACTTCAGGATCTGAACCGGATCCTAAAACTGGGTCGATCAGTTGATCTATCGCACATCTTTGGATCTTGTTTAAAGCCAGATTAGCCAAACTAATCTCGTCTTGCGACCTATTTAAATCAACAGCCACCATGGATGATATCAGTTCGATCAAGACCACTCCAAAGCTGTAAACATCACTCTTAACTCTTATCTGTTAATTGGTAACGATGGTGATATTGGGGATCCAAATATCCTGGGGTTCCTTGAGGAGCTGTAGACACGTGATTGACATCATCTGGTAAGAGCCTTGAGAGCCCAAAATCTGCTACCTTTGCACTAAAATTATGATCAAGAAGAATGTTACTTGTCTTCACATCTCGGTGTATGATTTCAGAGGCATGAAGGTACACTAGAGCTCTGGCAGTTTCAATGGCAATGTTCATCCGTAATGGCCATGGTAGTAAGCTTGCATTTGCTCGTTTTCCATGGAGGTGATCCGCAAGTGTCCCATTGGAAATGTATTCATACACAAGGAGAAGTTCATGGCTTTGTCGGGAGGTGCAACCATAGAGCACCACAAGGTTGGGGTGGCGTAATCTGGTGAGGATTCTAACCTCATTCACAAATTGTTGTACTCTTTTGTAGTTGTGCTCGTATAGTTTCTTCACTGCAACTTCTCTCCCATCTTGGAGTTTACCTTTTTACAGAAAGATCAGATTTGATGAATAACTTAAGTGAAAATAAACACCCCTCAATATTCTTAGCAAGTGTAAAGCTCTCACCATAGTAAACAGCTCCAAAACCTCCATTCCCTAGTTCCCGAGTAGGATCGAAATGTCTGGTGGCATCTTCGAGTTCAGTGTAGGAGAAAACAGAGGCGCCATGGAAGAGAGTACTCCCATCTTCAGCATTTAGTGATCTGTCCTTTGATGAGAAATAGGAAAAAGGGTTTGTCTTGTAGCGGCCCCATGTTATGAAGATGACAAGAAAAAGTATGAGGATGAAGGAGGATCCTGCAACACCTTTAGATAAAAATTCTTTCATTTATGTGTATTGATGTATTTATATATTTGGTAGTAATGCATTCAATCCAATATGTAATATTACCTAGAATCAGTTTAAGTTCTCTGCGTGATTTTTCTGCCACAACAGAACAACAGAAGATAAGACAAAAAAACCAATTTCATGAATATATATGAAAGGAATATGAAAAAAAAAAAAAAATTGTAAATACCCTTTTTGGCATCCAAACACTGAAACAATCCATTGTGAATATTACACTGGCCATCTTCCTGATGACACTTATGACAGGGAGTTGACAAGTTAAATGAAACAGAGAATGTGGAGCCAAGAATAGAAAATATGTTGGTAGTGTCAGGTACTTGAGGATCATTTGGCCCTCGAAATTTCACAGGCAGCTGTATTACTTGACATGTAGGCGGAAGATCATGTAGAAATTCTGCATAGCTGATCATTGAATAATCATAGTAGAAATCATGATCATCGCATCTGTCGTATCCACTATAATTATGTTGTTGAAAGTATGTTGAGGTGTTTATAGAATTGGTATGATTTGTGCATTTGTAGAGAGTGATGAAGGGTAGGATTGAAACTGAATACAAAAGAGGACTTGGAGAAGTGAAGTTATACGCAAGTGCCTCACACCTTGTCTTATTTACAAGTCTTTCAAACGTTTTGTTATGGATCATGACCAGAGGATCTGACACATACTTGGAAACAATCTCATGCGACTCTCCTCCAATTTCAATTTCCCCACCATATGATGTACAGTTGACCTTGATCAACCCACAATTGGTGTCAGTCGTATTATAAAATGGGTATGTGAATGGGGAAATTTTTGGGCAAATGAAATCTTTTGGGCAGATAGATTTGGAAATGTTGTGGTCTGTAGCAGAGTGAAGAAAAGGCAAACAAGAGAGAAGAACAGAGGCAGAAAAGATGGCGAGAATCATTTCACAAATTTTGTTGAGACTCCATACGTAATTGTGTATTTACATATATATCTTTTAGGTCTATTTTTTCTTTAGAGAAAGTCTTTGGTACAGTTGGACTAAAAGAGGTTAAATGAGGTCAGATTTAAGATGCTTTCAGCCTTTCACACCAAAAACTCAATTTTCCCTCACGTGTATGCCCACAACATAGAAATTCTGTCACTTTTATAATTTTCTGTCCATTGAGCACCATTATCAAGACTTTTGAGTCGCATATTCTATTCCTCCATTTATCCTTAAACCCTTTGAAACTTCAAAAAATTGAATTGGAAAGTTTCATGTGGTTCCCTCTTCATGCCATCTAATACTTTTCAACTGCCATAATTCAAACTTACGAACAAGACAGCTTTGAAAGTTAGACACATATTTTTATTAAATTTTCAATCTGAAATCGTCAAAGAAGAGTGTATATACATAACATCAGAATGTTTATAAAGAATAATCACATGAATATATACACCCTTTTTCACTGATAGATACGGTCACCATGGAACGGTGAAAATAAGTGCTCACCTTTATTGGTATTTTTGCAGCATCAAGAAAAATATAAATAAATCATGCTGTTTTACCATGTGGAAACCCAGTAGTTGGCCTGAAGTTTCTACAAAGACCAAGTCTTTCAAATAAGTGGATGGAAACTTTGTTCAAAATTTCTTTTTGGATCAAGACTTGACTAACACACGCATTGACTTTCGTTGTTTATTAGTCACATGTAATTATCAACATTTAGTTTATACAAGTGTTTTGATTTATTTACCTGCTTATTATCTATACACCAAACATTATGGATCAAGGCTTTTTGGGAAGGATTTAGTCTTTCAGGTTCGGGGTTGATACCCCCCCTCTTTTCCTCCTCTGGTACAGGTCTCTCCCTGTTATTGACAACCCCACCTGTACTGAATGCATAAAGTGAAACTTCTGTCACTTATCCATTAAGTTGAAAGGAAACATGTATAGCTGTCCCCATTAAATCGAAAAGAAACAGGAACTTAATGTTAATTACATTCCTTTTCATGAGCTCACAAAAACTCAAATATTTAGGGCATAGAAACAATGGAAATTTTGAACAAAAACCACACGGAGTTGATGAATATGCATAGTGATCGTATGTTGTGATGCCATCTATCTGACAGGGAGTGTAGTTGATGCGGTGCTAGAGCTATGTCATTCACTAGTGATGGAGACTGGCGAACGCAGGAAATCTTTCAACAAAACCGTCTTATCACTGGCTTCAGAAGGAGGTGGCGGCTTTGCTTTTTCCATGTCGCTGATACTTTCATCAGCATCAATTCTCCCTGGGGATTGAATATCCTCCAACACATCAAGCACCTCATTCATTGTAGGCCTCATTTCTGAATAATACTGTAAACACTGAAAAGCCAACTCTGCCACTGATGTCATCATCCTCATGGTTTCGGCATCTGAATCGGCTCCTAGATCAGGATCGATCAATTGATCTAACGCACATCTTTGGATCTTGTTCAAAGCCAGATTAGCCAAACTAATCTCGTCATCAGACCTATTTAAGTCGACTGCCCTCATCGATGATATTAGTTCAATCAAGACCACTCCAAAGCTGTAAACATCACTCTTATCTGTTAATTGGTAACGATTGTGATATTGGGGATCCAAATATCCTGGTGTTCCCTGAGGAGCTGTAGACACATGAGTGACATCATTCGGTAAGAGCCTCGAGAGCCCAAAATCTGCTACTTTGGCACTGAAATTCTGATCAAGGAGAATGTTACTGGTCTTGACATCTCGGTGTATGATTTCAGAGGCATGAAGGTACACTAGAGCTCTGGCAGCTTCAATGGCGATGTTCATTCTTAACGGCCATGTCAGCAAGCTTTGATTTGCTAGTTTCCCATGGAGGTGATCAGAAACAGTGCCATTGGAGATGTACTCGTACACAAGGAGAAGTTCATGGCTTTGTCTAGAAGTGCAACCATAGAGCACCACAAGGTTGGGGTGGCGTAATCTGGTGAGGATTCTAACCTCATTCACAAATTGTTGGACTCGTTTGTAGTTGTGCTCATAAAATCTCTTCACAGCAACTTCTCTCCCATCTTGGAGTTTACCATAGTAAACAGCTCCAAAACCTCCATTCCCTAGCTCCTTAGAAGGGTTGAAATTTTGAGTGGCATCTTCAAGCTCTGTGCCAGAGAAAACAGAGACGCCGTAGAAAAGATTCCCATCTTCAACGTTTAGTGATTTTTTCTTTGAAGAGGAATAGGAAAAAGGGTTTCTCTTATACCGACGCCAGATTAGAAACATGACAAAAAAGATGATGATGATGAAGGCAGATCCAGCGGGAACTAAAATAAGAAAATACAACAGCTTCACTTACAATTTCCTAGATAAGTCGTGTGTGTATTTATATATTTAGCACTAATGCATCTGACCAGAGATGTGAATTACCTAGGATATATATATATATATATATATATATATATATATATATATATATATATATATATATATATATATATATATATATATATATATATATGTTTCAGTTTACTGAGTGGTGTTTCTGCGGAAACCAAACAATAAAATATAAGTTAATATGTTAGATATATCAATTCTTGTGTACCCAGAATAATTAAGGAAGAAAGGAAAAGGAAAAAAAAAAAGGTATAAATACCCTTCTTGGCGTATAAACACTGGAACTGTCCATCGTGAGTGAGACATTGGCCCCCTTCCTGGTGACACTTATCGCAGGAAGTTGTAAAGTTAATAGAGAATACAGAACTGAGAATATAAAAGATGTTGGTTTCATTGACTACTTTACGGTCATCAAGCTTTTGCATATTCACGGGCAGCCGTACGACTTGACATGTAGGTGGCAGATGACTTGGAACTTTTGTATCACTGATGGAATAGTTATAGTAGAAATCGTGATCTTCACATTTGCTTTTGTGGTAATTAGATTGGTTAAAATAACCATTTATTTCTGTGTCATGATTGGGATGGTTTCTGCATTTGTAGAGAGTGATGAAGGGTGCGATTGAAATGGAATACAAAAGAGGACTTGGAGATGTGAAGTTATCCATAAGTGCCCCACAACTGCTATGATTCACAAGTCTTTCAAACGTTATGTTACGGATCAAGACCAAAGGTTCATCAGACACGTACTTGCCAAAAATCTGATATGAGTCTCTTCCAATTTCAATTTCCCCACCCTTCGAAGTACATTTGACCTGGATCAACCCGCATTGAGTGTTAGAGTCATTATAAAATGGGTATTTGAATTGTGCTAAATTTGGACAACTGAAACTTTCTGGGCAGGTAGACATAGAAGTGTGGTGTTTTGTAGCAGAGTGAATGAATTGTATAGAAGAGAGAACAATGGAGGCTAGAAAGAAGACGCTAATCATTTCAACTGTCCAACAGAAAAGGTTAAGACACTTAATAGTTAATATCACATGTGTCCTTGAGAATCCATTATATATCTCCTCTCGGTCTATGTGCTCTCTAGAGGAAGTCTTTGAAACAGTAAAGCTGAAAGATGTGAGGTACTTATGCAGAGTACCATTTAATAAGCGTTCACACCCAGATTAATACTCAACTTGCCCCAACGTGCATGCCAAAGGCATAGAAACTCTGCCACTTTTGTAATTTTCTCCTTCTTGATGAAGACCCTCAAGGCTTTTGAGTCACCGACTCTACACTACCATCCATTCTTAACCCCTTTTAAACGCCAAAGTTAACATCTCTCTTGGAAAATTTCATGTGGTTGCCATTATATGCCCATCTAATACGTCTCAACTCACAATAATCTTTTTTTTTTTTTTTTAAGGGCCAGAATAATCCAAACTTATGAATAAGCTAAATTTTTAGACCCTAGAAACAATTTCCTTAAATTTCCAATATTACATCATCCTCGTTGAAAATGTATATACTTTTTCACTGACATATATAAATGTTCGACCAAGAAATTGACCTGAGGATAAATCATGGACCAATGGTAAAGTTGTTTCAGGATCATGGACTTATAATTAGGTTTGCTTTATTGCAAACTTATAATCCTTGTACTTCTATTTCGTTTTTTTGTTAGCCTTATTTTAGAACAATCTAATTAAGGAGGTGTTTGGTTTAACTTTTCACGGTTAAAAGTTTTTTTTGGAAAAGAAAAAAAAGTAAAAGATGTTTGGTAAACTAGTTTTAAAAAGTTACTTTTGAAGCTTTTATACAAGGAAAATCAACTTTTAGGAAAAGTTAAGAAATCTTGATTTTTTGTAACTTTTCCAAAAAGAACTTTTGGATTTTAAGAAACTAAACCAAACACCCCCTAAATATTCTTAACTAGGTATAACATCAATGTATTATTGGTTCATTTAGAAAAAATATATATATGAAAATTCTAAACATTCCAAAAAGTTTGAATTTATTAAAAAATTTAGAAAAATATTGAATTATTAAAATTAAAATAATTTTTTATCTTTTAAATTTAAACAAATAATTTAGATAAATAAAAAAAAGGAAACTAATGAAGTTTTAATTTAAAAGTATTGAAATTAGAAGAAAAGTCAATTATTGAAATTGATATGCATTTATTATTATATCTATTGCATTTATTATATTTAAATATTATGCGAAATTTAATGATATGGAAAAAATCACAAAATATCATGTGGAAAATATTTAATTGAAAATAACCACAAAATGACATGTGACCAAATCAATATGAGTGTGGCATGTGACAAAAAGATTTTCATTTATTAGAGTATATTTGTATATAACAATTATTAATTTTGAGTTACGATGTGATGATGTATATTTTTAATCTTATGTTTTATTTATTTAAAATTTAAAAGATATTTAATGTGATGATGTGCATTTTTAATTTATTATGATTATTAAATTAATGATCATTTCATATATTTATATTTTATAAAAATTATTAGAAAAATGATCATTTGTTATTTTTAAACATAAGGGTAAAATAGTTGTTTATTTAGATTAAACGAGTGCATTTTGTAAAAAAAACACATTTATATGAGCAATACTTTATCGATTCAGTATATTTTATAAATTCATCAGTTAACGAAGAAAAAAAAACGAGGCCTTAGTATTGTTTGTTCAAGAATCTAGCAACACCCTTTTTTTCCTTTTTGGAACGACGAGCAAATATTTTAGCACAAAAAAGAGACTTAAGCGAGAAGTTAAGTAAGATACAACAAAAGTACCAAATAGGAGACACACACCAAGCAACCCAATCAAGATTACAAAATTTGGACCTATTTTTGATCCAGTTAAAAGTATTAATGCTTATATCGTCCTCAATAAACAAAACCACTCCCTTCGTTCCTGAAAATAATACCATCACTGGCCTGCCAAATAAATCAATGAGAGACATAAGTAATTAATAAGGTGGGATTCTAGAGATGTTTGTTGTTGCTCCCCGAATTGATCAAATCCATTGCGTTTGAGCAAGAAGCATGTTACAACTTGAAGACATCCAACCAATCAACAATCCATTTCCTTAACGAAGCAATGAAATCACAGGAGAAGAAAAGGTGATCCACACTCTCATGAGCTGAGAGACAAAAAGGACACGGACTTGACACAACCCCATGCATAATCATATTAGGAAAATTTTGAATTTTGTTCAGAAAAACACGCTAAACAAATGACTTACTCTAAAGAGGAATCCAGTTAACCCATGTAAAATTCCAAGTCAAGATTATGGGTTAATAATGTTGGATTAAGGTGTCAAAACTCATAACTAAATTGGTATAAACTTGTGATTAGAAGCAAAATACTTTTTGGATTGCCCTCATAACTAGAAACTGATTAGAATGACATTTTAAAAGAGTGAAAATAATTTATTAGTTTATTATATGATTAATAAAATAATTTGAAATATATTAAATTAATTAATAATTTATCAGAAGTAATTTGGATTTAATTTGGGGTTAATTGGAATTAATTAGAAATGCAAGGGTTGCTTTGTAATTGCTTAATAGTCGAGCAAAGAAGAGGTTCTAGAAACCTCCTATGGTGGACGATTTTGGAGTGCCTTGTAAGACAATCTATAACGCTTCATTTGATATAAGGAAAGTAGATAATCACTAGGATTTGAAATACTATGAATTGAAATAATATTATTTTATGTTCAAGTATACAGTTTCTAAGGTTTCCTGATAGCTATATAAAAGGACCATTGCCTTGCAATTTTCGTCCAATCATTTTAAGAGAATCCTAGATGAAAATTACATCCCCTTTCCTCTCTCCTCTCTTGTGTTCTAGTTTCTAGTTTTTGGTGTGAGTCATTAGAGGCATCATACTTTTTGTCACACCCCAAAACCTGAACGGCGGAAACGTTTAGGGGTAGAGGACGTCATGTACAGTAGCATATCAATGCATAATAGTAAACAAGCAACAACATCATCCATTGCATTAATAGTATAATTTAATACAAGTGTGTTATATGTATAGTTTGTAAGACACCAAAATAAGAATCAAAATAAAAGACGAGTCATGAATGAGCTCTGTCTTCTCAAAACCTGGTCCAGTGTACCTGTCTATTGGTGACCTGAGAATACAAGTTATTTTGAAATAGTAGATCAACATTAAAGTTGGTGAATTCATAAGTATTTTAGTGTCATTGTTTTGTATGAAATTGTTTGTAAATGTTTGTAAGTGCTTGATGTAAAGGTTGTATCTCCTAGAAAATCCTATATTTTCTACTTTATTATGAAATGTAGTCTTCTACCAAGACCCGACTGTTCTGTATGTTTGTTCTTTTGTAAAAGTGAGTGTTTTTCCCAAATATGACTATCATTACCAAAATATAGTTTACATCACCGTTTATGTGACAAGATCACAATGTGAGTGCAATGGGAAAATAAGGATATACTGTAGTATTGTATATAAGTAACTACCGATGTACTAACTACCTTAAACCATTTTGTTTAATTAAGGTAAAATGTGATGAGGTTATAACCATACTTGATTAATTAGTAAAACAAGAGGATCAAAGATGTCGAAATGGTATGACATTCGTCACCTGTAGACCTGCAGGTCCCACTGTAGCTAGCAGCAAGGTGTAGGATGGTCAATCACGTATAGATCTATACACAAATTCATGCTTTCCCTCTAGGAGACTCTGGTTACAAAACGTGACACATCAGTATATTGCCATGCCATGAAGTAGTAGCTCACATTAATGTCATAGCATTCTTGTGTTTGTATAGTATGTTCTAGTGTATTGTATGTTCTCTCTATTCTAGTGTATAGTATGTTCCTCCTTGTTTCTCATTATAGTATGTTATTTCTGTTTCTCATTAGAGTATGTTTGTACTGACTCATGTGTAAACTGACTCTTGTATGTTTCATTGTAATATAAATAGTGAGTAGTAATTCTCTAAACTATACCTATTATAGTTTACTAGTAATTTTGTTTGAATAAATGAGTATGTTTGTACACCTTTGCTACCCAAGGTGTTGAACTGATGAAAAAACTTTTATATCTATACAAATATACATAATATATAACTAAGATTCAAATGATACTTGGACAAACAACCGAATACCCTAAGTCCACAACCAAACAAGGAACAAGAAATAAAGTGAGTTATCAGTCCTAAGTCCTTTCAACCTTATTTATAGAACTATATCTATACAGACATGCTTTTGACAATTTATAAGTTTTAAAAGAGTTTAATAAAGAGTTTAGCATATAAAAGAGTTTTAACCATTTGAATGGCTATTGATGACTTAATGTCAGTTTATAAATTTTTTTGAAATAGTTTGCTTGATAAAATACTTTGAAGTGTGTGCATTCTCTCAAAAGTCATTCCAAAAGCAATTGGTGTTGTGTGAAGCATTTGAGGCATCACACTTGGGGTGCTAGGCTCACAAGGTTTTCAAGGAATCAAATCAACTACAAGGTATGTAATTCTAGCCATCCTTTTAGGATAAAAGTTCCCCATGTATGCTAGATAGGATTTATTGGATAAGATGTCTAAGTCCATAACTATTTATGGTATGTACTTGACCCGACCCGGCATGGTGCATTTGGGTTGCATGGCACCATGCAATTGGATAAACTAAAATGAGAGAAATAACACTTATGGTTTATTAGTATATTATAAGTTCTAATATATTAATAATATTATTTATTTAGTTTGATCAAGAATTAATTTAGAATTAATTAAGTGATCAAAAGATAACTAATTAAATACATGGGTAGATTATGTAAATCTTCCATATCTAATATAGTGGGCTAAGAGGCTCCATGGATTATCAAGTTGGGTTCCACCCTTTGGATGCTCCATGGAGTTACCCATTTATCATGAAATGAAGAGTCATGTTGCATTAGGGTTTACCTAATGCAACACACTATATAAACAAAGGTGTTCTCCCCAAAATC